CACTGCCTGGGCCCGGCTGAGAACACAGACCAAGTGCTGGAGAGCTGCGAAGGAGAAGGTACGAGTTGAATCCGCCCCTAGGACCTTGTGCCCGGAGCCAGAGATGAACCCCACCTGTCCAGCCGCAGGCCCTCGGCGCCCTCCTCACGGCGAGGCTAGGCTTGGACCTCAACTCGCTAAATTGGGCAGGTAGAGGAGCTGGGAACCGACCAGGCCATTGCTAGACTCCCATCTACAGACCGGCCACGTTTCCTTCGCATGGCTCTGGATAGACGTGGTCGTCTTTAATTCGATAGAATTAAAAACAACACTTTACCCGTTGTGGTGCTTTCCAGATACTTTGACATCCAGCCACCTGTCATGAACCCCATTCTGCAGGTGAACCCCAATCTGTTTGCACAAGACCAGTGACTCCAGTCTGGTCATGGTGTGGTTTCCACTGGGAGGACTCGGTGGTCTGGACTTGGCCAGGTTCTACCCCCATTCCACCCCCACCTCCGAAGCTGCAGCCAGCTCTCCCGAGATGGGGCGTTCATAGGGTTCCGATGAAGTGTTGGGGTGTGCTGGATGTTGGGGGTTCTACCTTCATCCTCCCTCTCCTTTTCCTTTCCTGACGCCTCTTCCTCATGTCTTCCTGTAGTTCCCTAATTTCCTTCCTTTGCAGATATTTAGCCCTAATCCGGTTTCCTCTGTTTTTGCTTTTCTTAGAGCCTCTTCATCTGTTCTTGCTTCTCCTGACTTTGGTTAAGAGAAGAAGGTGTCATCCTCAGTGGGGGTCCCTAACCTGCCACTGTGTTCTGGATTCCGCATCAATGCCCCACCCGGCCCCAGGATCTTCCTAGGCCATCTCCCCTTCTCAGGGTCTCTGCCGAGAGCACACCTCTCCTATTACCCACCCCCTCCCCCCTCCTCCCCATGATTATGTATACAAATGCCTCCTCTCCTCACAAGACAGCCCCCATCTTAGCCAAAACCTGCTGCTCCCTCCCCCACCTTCCTCTCTACCTTTCCAGACCTCCCTCCCAGGTTGCCCAGGTCTGTTCCTGACAAGAAGCTGGTCATGCCTTCCTCCTGCTGGAGTGCCTTACCCTCCCCACACATGTGGGCGGCTTGCCTTTCACTGGCACCTGCTCACCCCGCTGGGCCACCCATCCTGGCTATGGCCCCTCGTCAACTTTTCTCCCTTCCTCCATCTCTGCAATACCCTGGGTTCAAATCCTGACTCTTCCATTTACTAATGGTGACACCTGGGGCCAATAAGCTTACACATGTATGAAACGGCAAGCATTATATGGGAGCTCTGTGAGAATTTAATGAGATGAATATGTGGTGCACAGGATAATGCCTGACTCCAGAGAGGCAACAGGTAAATGTTACAGTCTCTACCTTTTGCCCATGCGGGGAAACTTGGGAATGGTCCTCAAATCCTCACTCTCTCTCATCCTCCACATCCAATCAGTCACCAGGCCTTGTAGTTAAGTACTTCTCAAGTCTAATCCCCTCCCTTTTTGCTTCTTTGCTGGCTAACTTTGTTCTTTACAATTCAGTTCGACAACTCCCCAGGAAATCCCTTCCGCCGCCACTAAATCTCCACTCTGTTTAGCATTCACCTACAGGACGGAGTTGTCTGTGTCTGCAATCTGTCTCCCTCACGAGGCTACGATGTCCCCCTTGCCACCCCCAAGCTGGGAAGCTGTGGCGTATATCATGACCCCCATCATAGCCCAGGCAATGTTTATGCAACAGTGCCCTCGCTCTCACGGAGAGCTTAGTCCAACAACATCCCCAACCATCTCCCTCTTACTTTCCATCCCCCTCTTTTCTCTTCAGCCTCCATTCATCTTCATGTCTCCCTGCCCTACAGAAAGTCTTCTGTCCTCATGTTTCCCTCACTCTGTTAACTTTTCTTCTTCACAGCCCAGCTTCTTGAATACGTTTTAGTCTCTCTCCAACTCCGTCATTTCCCCTTGAGTCAATAAGCCTTTGCAACCGGCTTCCACACCATCACATTAGCAAAAGGGCTTGGAAAAGCTCCCAGGCTTTTTGTATGGTGTTATTACAACAGCAACCTGTGCTTGTGGGGACCATAATAAGCACAACTTTATGGAGCTATTGTGAGATTGAACGAGTTATAATCCCCACCCAATGGGCTTAGAACATTGCCTGGCGCGTAGTAAGTCCTTGATACATGTTAGCTGTTATTTTACAGAATTGTGCTGTCTAATGTAAAACCCACGTAGCCATTGTGTGCTTGAAATGTGGATGGCCCGAACTGAGATGATCTGTAAATGTTAAATGTGGAAGGCTAAGTGTTAAAAACATGTAAAATATCATTAATATTTTCTGTATTGATTACATGCTATAATGATAAATACAGGATTGAGCAAAATAAGATTAATAATAATAAATAATACAATAATTAATCAATAAGTAATATGAGAGTAAACTGTTTCGTGTACTCACAACTGTAATCCTACTTTTGCCCACCCCTGTATTTGGGATATATTGGTGTTAAGTAAAATATGTTATTAACATTATTTTTACCTCTTTCTTTTCACTTTTTAAATGTGGCTACTAGAATATTTAAAATTACATATGTGCCACACATTATATTTCTATTGGACAGAGTTGTTATAGAAAATACAGGTAATCCAAAAGAATGAGGGAGGGTAAATGCATGTGGGGAAGGGAAAACAGAGATTTAATAATTATCAAATCCTACCACCCA